TAGATTAATTTGGTATAAATTTCTCATTTTTGAATCTGGGAGCTCTAACCCGTGTTTTCCTAGAACAGTCCCCAAATTTTATTATAGATAAAAATCCATTTATGGATAGATCGGCGTTACACACATTTAATAGGCATTTCAAAAAAAATATTAATATCAACAATTTATATGTGAAGAGTATTGTAAAATCGAAAAATCACCACTTAGAAAAGTGGCGCTGCACAAACTATATAACACCACCTCAAAATTTGCACAAATGTTCTGTTATTATTGTTCTTTCCTGAGCGGAATTGAATTTTTATTTTTATTAATAACAAAGTTGCTCTAAATTTGTCATAACGTCCAAATTTGTGATGATCTATATTTTAAATCACGTGCGCGTAACATAAAAAATAAAACTAATATATATAGATAATTCAAGCAATAGTAAATAAATAACATTTCTAACTATCATTTATCATTAATACTGTAATAAAATGAATAAAGGTGTAAGCCGAAAATATTATATGTTGTTAAGTATATAAATATAATTGGATTTTGGTGAACATAAACTGTGAAATCAATCCCCTTGTCAATCTAATCAGTCCTGACGAAAGAAGAAATTTTTTAGAAGAAATTTCCTTTGAATTTAGACAAGTAATAAAAATAAACGAATTATTAATAAATTTAATAAAAAATTTGAAATGTTGCGTGCATGATTTTCATTGGTTAATTTCACTTGACCAATGATCGGATTTTTATCTATGCTATACAGTCGAACCCTCATTTCAACGGATTTTTGTTTCAACGGATTTTTGGTTTTATTATTATCCTTGTTTCAACGGATTTTATATTTAAATCGTGTTCAACGAACAACGGATTTTTTGGTAGGATTTTAGTAATAATAATAATAATAATAATAAGTACTAATCGCGTTACAACGGATTCACGTGATATAGATTTTATAAAAAAAACCACATTACTATTACTATGTTAAGATTAATTCATTGCTAAATAATAATATAAACTCTCAAAAATATCAATATGATTTTTACATGAATAATTCTCACATTGCTAAATAATAATATTAATCAAAAATTTTGCCATATTTCTAATTTTACACGAATAATTAAACACATATTACTAAATAATAATATTAATCAAATTTTCCA